GATCTTTAGTTTTTTAAAAAGTGACCCATCTTGGCTGTGTTTTAGTAGATACATTTTGTAAAATACAGTCACATTTCAATTATTATACGTTATATATGTATATAGATTATTGCTATTATAGAAATAAGTTCTTAAACTTATTTTTCTTCAAACATAGAACATTAAATAAAAAAGTAAAGCAAACAATTATCTCTTCTACCTACGACCTTTGTGCTCGGTTGCTGAGCCTTTTAAAATTTTACACATGTAGGATATGAAAAGAAATAATTTTTTTTTAGGTTTTATATATATATAAAATATATATATGGGTCTAAAAATATATAAAATTTCGAGCAGATTAAAGACACAACCTACCTCCTTGAAATCTTGGTTGAAAGAACGAGATGGTGTCCTAACAATTTAAAATGGCTTAAAAAGCCACTAGGGGGACATTCTGAGCTTTCAATTGGTTATTCATGTCATAGACAGAAGTAAGTGTATATAAGGGAGTGTTTCCAAAAATGGAAAGAGGTGGTCAAAGGGCCACTGTATTTGATTTATTATGTGAGGAATATCTTAATAAAGATAAGAGCTTCTTATTTTATATTCTAGCTTGTCAATATCAGTAATTTGAGTTCCTAAATCATATGAAACTATAGACTTATTATTTTGACATCACAAACATCTAACTTGAACCAGTGCTGCATTCAACTTACCATGTGACACACAAAAATCAGTGTTTATCTGTATTTTTTAAATATTTACTTTTAAATTAAGAAATTAAATAATGTACAATACTAAAATTTGAATTATAATCTACGGTTTGATACCAAACTTATTGACAAATTCATGAAATATTAGTTCAATCAAATTTTGAATGCAAGTCAACAAATGTGATGACATGGCCTTTGACCCGTGCCCCATCTGGAAAGGGTTAAAATGGAGATGATGATGATGATGATAGTATCTGTGTATACCGCATGCTATAGTGTAAATATCTTTGTAGACCACACACTACATAGCACCATGATTTTTTTTTTTTTTCCTGAATATGTAGGAAGAGGATTTACTTTCTTTTTGGTGGAGTTAAGCTGTAGAAAGCAGCAGTAATGTTAACTAAAAACACTAAGCTTTTATTTATGTTCCAAATTACTTAGTCTTGTGAAACTGATGTCATAATAGTAACATGATTACATCTCAACCTGTTTTATGGAATGATAAAATAATGTTTTAAAATATTTTGAATGAGACAAATTAAATCCATAAAAATTGTATTGTAAAATTGTAATAAATTGAAATAATAAATTACATTTTTATTTGTCATGATTTTTTGTAATAATATTTTTCTCCGTGTATATTTCATATTTTCTTGAGAAAATTTGAAATCGCCATTATAAGCTCATTAAGTGAAATTTGTTAAATGTGCTAGTATATAATATGGTGCACTAAATGCATTTTGAAAGAGATTGTATTACTTTCTTGTTGTAAGGTCAAGACAATAGTTGTTTTACTATTAAATGTATAAGTTCTGAAAGTTATTAAATTACATTTGAATATTTTAGTTGTTTGCAATTTGAAGTTAATTTATTTTTATAACTGTCATACAATTACAGGGTTGTATTGTGCAAGTTCAAGCAAAAGATGGAAAGGTCTTCGAAGGAGTTTTTAAGACATTTTCTCCAAAGGTAGGGCTCTTGTGTTTTTATACAAAAATGATACTGAAGAATGTTATCTTGATATTTGTTGTTTTGTTGTATCTGGGTTAAGTCCAACTGTAAAAAATAATAATTATCAGTGCTCAATTTTAAGGAAATTTCCAGGTTGTCTAAAAAATATATATATAAATTCTCGAAAAAAGATCCAATTATGAAAATATTGATGTAAAAAACCCAGTTACAAGAATTTTGATTTTTTAAATCTTATTTATTTCCAAAAAGTACAATTAATGTTTAGTTGACAATTTTGCATCTTTATTCAACTAATTTCTGATGCCTTATTGCCTGGAAAGTTTCATTACATTGGAAAAAATAAGCCCAAACCATGCTAATGTTACATAATATCTCAGGGAAACAAACAGTCAATGATCTGTAAAACTTTTAAACAGAAGAGTGATCTTGGCCAATCATGTTCAATGTTTTCATTCTAACCATCTTGGCTTGCCTGCCACGTACAGTAAAATAAGCCTGTAGTAAGACCAGGTCATTGTTTCAACTGTGATTATTAATGATGAAAATTCTTAGTTTGATTATTTAAATTTGATCGCTTTTGTTAATACCGAAGGTTTATTGGTGGTAAGAAGTTGAGACGACCATGTTAGTTTTATTGTCGTTAGCATCTATACTAGAAATTAATCTCACTAAATATTTGTGTTATTGGCATTTGTTTTTGTTGCAAATTCCCATATATATGGATACAAACATTGCACAATACGATGTGTGGTAATAGTTTTATTTTGAGTTTACTTACTGATTAGATATATAAAAATTTTGTTACATTGGTTTAATGTTGATTTAAATACTAAATGTTTTTTACCGTTAAAACTTGTGTACTTGAGAATGAGCACAATAGTGACAGAATCAGTATGCCCATTTTAAAAATAAATCTTTCTTACATTTAAAGCTGTAACTTGTAAAAAAAAAGTGGTAATGTAACTAAGTGAGCTGTATACACTGTATTATGTTACCATGCACAGTCATTCAAGCTCACTTGAACTTCATTCAAAATTTACGTGCAGCTTGTCCACAATAGAAAGTTTAGTGACTAAAACAGCATTATTAGCCAATCACAAAAATGAACTTTTCTTGGCTTTTTCGGGCACTTTTGGTGGATTGTACCAACATTTCACTTGTTTAAAGTACAATATTTTTTAACAAAAAAAATGGACCAAAAGATATTTTTATGGGGTTCCTTTCAAATTTTCGAGTTTGTAATTAGGGAATTTACCAATGATTTTGATTGAATATTGGAGTTGATATTACGTGTGTAGTGTGAGAATGAATAAGTGTACAGTAGACTGAGATGCTGTTTTGAGTAAGGGTTTGTTCTGTGGCACCAGTTGTCCTTTGGGCAACACAGGTTTAAGTTGATTATCCGATGAAGTTTTTAATCGTCTCAGATGACTGTTAAAATCAAGCCTTGATTATAATCAAATATTATAGTTTGTATGGTTAAATAAACTATGTAAAGAATAGTTATCTTCTTTTTTAGCATTTTTTTATATTAAAATTTATTAATGCCTCTTCATTTGAATAAAGTGAATGATTTATTGTTTATTATTGGTATTTTTGGCTTATATCACCATTTTCTATTAAAGAAATGCCAGACCAAGCTATTATGTGATTACAGTTAATTTTTTAAACAGCTTAAATGGAAATGTTTTTTAAGCAATCAAAATTGTGATGTTTCAGTCCACAGTTAAGTATTTTGATCACTGAAATTGTCATATTACAAGAACCACTCATTTAAATATGTTTTCATTTTGTGGCTTTTGTCGTTCTGTGATAGTTTTATTTTGCTGTTGATAACATGGAAAAATATGAGCAACCTCAGTTTAAATCTTTTGCTACAGGCTCAGATGAATCTACCATGCTCATAACTTTGAAGTAATCATTACAGTATTCATACTATAACTTTTAATACAATAGTTCTAACTTCACACTTTCAGTAAACAATACAAGTCTTTGTACACAAAAAATCAGATTTTTAAAGTATTATTACTAAAGATTTATCCGTGAATATATTGAGTCGTTTTGTTGACTAGTCTGAGTACAAAGTGATTTTCATGTTAAGATTAAAAATACTGTTCTTCATCTAAAAATTTTCAAGTTTCATTTGTGTAATCTCTGAAACCTCCTAAATAAACACAAAATGTTTTTTTCAGTAAATCTTTATAATTTATCTTATTTTCTCTACCCTAACTATGTGAGGTTGGTCAATTTGACTGACCTTGTAACTGCCATAAGAAAATACAAAATCTAAATTACCCATTTTCTTCCTAGAATGACTTCATATTATAACATGAAACTGTATTTGTTTATTCTCAGTAGCTTAAGTCTCATAGCAGTATACCTCTATTTCTACTTAAATGTTATTGTTTTATTACCCTTTAAACTGTGTCTAACTAATAATCCTGCCACACAAGTTGTAAATCACTTGGTGAACATGTAGCTAGTGTTACCCTATCAAATCACGTTGCACACAGGCTACTCACAAGCATACTTCAAGAAAAAATTTTTTCTTTATCTTACCTTAACTAATGTAATAAATTTCTAAGTTTTAAATTGTGATAATAGATAAAGAATATACATGAAAAACAATAAATATAATACTTATTTGGATCTTTTTTTTTTACTGTAGATGAAACTTAACCCTACTTTTTTAAACTAATGGCACTACTACTACATTAAATAATTTATTTCATTAAATAATGCACTTTAGAACACATAAAAACAGACAATGTTCAATAACTATAATAATTTTTCTGACTTTCTAACTATGTGATAAAAGCTGTTGATGTGTTTCCTGTTGGAATAAAGTTTGAATTGGAAGTGAAATAGACAATTATCTGTACAGGAAACAATATAATATCTCATTTGATAGATTAAAACTTTGGCTTTCTTAATGTTTATAAAGCAGATAAAACTACTGGTAATTGTTGAAAGGGAGGGTGTGATAGGTGGGTGTAACAAGAGGTGCCTGGTTTTATATTTTATGGCTCTGTAATGAAATAAGATTGAAAGATACAAAAATTATGCTTTGCCTGAGTGATAACAATATTATAATGAGTAATTTACATTACATTCCATACTTCTCAGAGGGGTGGTAGATAAATTAGAGAAATACCTAGAGAACAAAAACTCACAATTCTCATACTAGGGTCAGATTGAGGATTTTTTAAAAAATATTTTATATAGATCACAGTAAATAAATTTGATTGATTTATTTTCAGATGGAGCTGGTGCTTGAGATGCCATACAAAGTGGACATGAAATCTGCTAATATTACTCCTATACATGGTTTAGGTGAAAATCTTAATAGTTTTATTACAAACTATACTGCTCAAGATTTTGCTACAGAGAAACTTATCTTCAATCTTGAGGATGTTGTAATGATTAATGCTGTAAATGTAGATTTAGACTATGCAACTAGAGGTAAGTTATGCGGCTTTTGTTGTTATTTTGTACCTTTTAATTAGAATTAATATAGTAATTATAAGAATCCAATATTATTATATAGCATTGAATTTCTTTCAGTATGAAATCTGTTTATAAAGTAATTCCTAAAGTGACATAAAAAAAGCCCATTTTGTGTATTGTAAAACTTGTAGCAGAAATCACAGATAGTCAAATTTATTTTATCAATATAAGCTACATTTTACCATTTGTAACACTGGCTTCATCTATGTGCTACAGGAGTATGCTGCACATACAAAAATAACTTGTTAAACTGAAACTTCTTTTGAACTATTTGTTTATAAAACTATTTTTTTTCATTATTTTTTATTGTTATAAGGAATATTTTGCTTTAGATAATGCTGTAGTGAACTTGTTTGCATTTCTAAACAAGCAAAATAACTGTACTTTGAATTTAAACACATTAAATTAGATTTTACTTGTTTCTTTTCTTATAATCACTTGAAAACCATTTTATGTGCATGATTTATTAGTTTATACATTTTGAAAGATTTGCAAATTCATATGTATTTATGGTTTATCGTAAACTGGATAACAGATCCTGAAAATTTATTAGATTTCATAATAATAATAATAATCTGATAAAGTGTTTGAGCTCAACATCTCAGTTGATATAACATCCCCCCCCCCTCTCTGAAAAGCAGGACGCAGATCTTGATCATTATTAGCGTTCATTGTTTTATAAAATTTACAATTTCTTCAGATAATGTGGAACAATTAACATTTCATATTGATAAAAATATTATTTTACCTAAAGTGAAACAACAACTTCAGTTTTTCTTTATCTTTTACTTATACTCGTATACTAGGCCTAGAATAACAACTTGGGCCATCATGAAACTTCAGGTAAAAATGTACATGTTCTATACATATACACATAACTGCAGTAAAAGCTTAATACCACTGAATTGTAAAGTTTCTTGAAAACAAGAACACATAAAATATGTGCTTTTGATACAAGAATATTGAAGGCTTGCCATTGGAGAAAACTGCCATCCCCTTTCATAAATGATGTGCAACTTTACAGTTATTTCCCCCACAAGCAGACCTGGTGTTGTCTCAGGGGAAAGACATGGAACAGTAGGCATCTAGAGCAAAATTAAGATTCTTGACTGCATGTGGGATCTGTACTTACACTTGAGTAGCTAACAAATTAAAAAAAATTCTACATCCAAATAAGAAGGTAGGAAATGCATGATATGCTTGCATATCACACCACTAAACACACTGCACAGCAGTGAGATAGTTCTAACTGTAACAGTCAGTTTTCCTATTTATTTAAAATTAGGTGATAGGTGCTGCTCCTTGGTTGCCTCACTCTAATCAGCAGTTCTTCATTAGGGATAATAGTGGCTTAACTTTGAGGTCTTTGACATGGCGATTTAGCTGACAGGTTGCATAAGATATTCAGGATGGAAAATACCTTCCTGGATTTGCAGATGAATGTAATTATAGTCTGAATAACTTAGAAGATTGTATCTTGTCATAAGTCTGGAAGTTATTTTTGTTTTTTAATAATAAAATATAAATCATAAATATTCATTATTGTATGAGCTATCTGTTCCAGACATTTAAATTTTAAATATACAAGAATAACCTAACTAAGATTCGCAAGATCTATCAAATTTTGGTTATTTGCTTGAAAAGGTAATTTTAATTTCACATTTATTCACCAAAATATGATTATACAATTTTGTTTGGATAGTTAGTGCATTTATTTCTGTTGATGAAGAAACAACTGAATGCTAATAAAGTGCTGAACAAGTTGTTAAATTAAGGATTCACTTTTTCTAGTAGAACTAATGTAAAAGTAATGTTTTATGTTGTTGTTTTTTTCATTTCAGAAACAACTTTTAGTAATGAGAAATATATTTGTGTGTAATAACGTATCAAGAGCTAAAAACATCTTTTACCACTCGTGTTGGTGGTTCAGTGCAGTACTGTGACATAGTAAAAATCAAACGTACGAGTGGGCTTAAATGTGGATTAGTAAATTTGCTAAGCTACTAGTCCAGTGAACCAAAAACTGTATATACGTTGCTCTGTATACATGTGGTTTAAGTTCGTAAAATTGAACCAAGTAAAAGTATTGCTAGGTAAAAGAGTTGTACTACAATATTTTTCTTATTTTAACAACTTCTGAAAATCATTTGTATGATGATTTTGATTTAGAAAATTTTAAGAATCTCTGTTTTTCAATAAGTAAATCTTGTTGAATTTTACACAGTATAGGGCAAAAAAAAATCAATGCTTGATAATATAAATGTTATTGCAAAAAATGTTAAATCAATAATGACCAGACATACCTTGTTGAAAAATTTTGTCTTTAGGAACAAAATGTTTTTGTAACTTTCTGGTAATTTTAATAGTGATTATATACATTGTATGAAGTATTTCAAACATAATAGCATGTTTGGTCAATTGTTTTAAGGTTTCACAGACTCCTCAATTAGCAAATTCAATGGCCAGGTTTTTGAGAAAGAACTAGAGCCATGGGAGGGACCATTAGAGGGATTTGATGGACCTGTTTCATTGGATTCAGATAAAGGAGATGCTGTATGTTGTTTACAATTTTTACTGTTGTTAATATCAACAATTCTTGTTATGAAGTATATACATAGATTCGTACATGTGAATATTTAGCTGATGTATGTTTTGTTTTTCAATTAGTCAATATGCTCTATCTTGGCACCGTTATAATTCAGATTTGTGTACTGTAAAATCACATTACCTTAAATGGTTATTTAATCAGTGAAAACAAAACATCATAGCATTAATGAATATATATATGTTTCAAAACTACTGTTACCCCTAGAGATTTTCTAAAAATCTGATCTCTGTAAGGCATGTATTTGTCATAAAACATATTTTCTTCTATAAGCTCTCACTTTTTTTTCCAATTATCTTTAAAATTGATTTATTATGGCATTAGTTAACTTATTTAAATAATAATAAAGAAAATGAAAAGTTAATCTACAAGAGATTTGTTCACTAAAACAGTTGTAAAAGTTAGTCACTGTATCATATACTTGTGGATACAGGGAGGTTGAAAGGGTTTAAACCCCATTCTGATGGACTAACAAACAAAGGTACCTTTAGACTTAATAAAAAAAATAATGTTTTTTTTTTCAAAAGGTCAAGACTTTGTGGAAGATCACCACCAACAAAAATCATGGATCTGACCCTATGATAGAATAATCTAAAAATTTACCAGAAAACTATTATTTTAAGCTGAATGTTTTATCATATTTCAGTCCATTATGGTTTCAAACTAAAATAAAAACTTAAAAATACATGTATAGCATAGTTGTAATAATAATAAGCACTGGAATGGTACCTATGGATGACTCAGTATTGCAAAAATGTGAAAACTATTACAGTAACACTGATACAGTATACTTTTAACAATTTTTGTACAGTATATTTGGATTTAATTTTCATGATTTTGCCTGTTTGAAATAATATTAATTTCTTTATAACAGCTAATATAAATATTTTTATTAATTTGGATATTTTGTTTTTATTTTAAATGCACTGTATACTAAATCAAAGTTAAAAATTCATAAAACTTATCCAGTGTAGTTTGAAAGTAAGGCACAGATGATTTTGAAATACACTAGTGATATAAATACCACTATATGATATTTGTAGTTTTAAATAAAAATGTAATTGTAATGGTAACATCAACCCAATGATATCAAATTAATAAATGGAAATATTATTTATGTAAATTTTTGTTTCATCTAGAAAAATGGATGGGATGCCAATGAAATGTTTCGAACAAATGCTGAAAAATATGGAGTTACTTCAACATATGATTGCACACTCCAAGGCTATACGTAGGTTTATTTATTTATTTTTTAGTATACGAGTTAGTCTTTTAATGTAAAAATCATATTCTTATGAATAAATAAAAAGTGATTTGAATATATACACTAGGTTTAATTTGTGTATCTTTTATATGATGTTTGCATTTTTCTATATTTTGCTATTTGAAATTTATAGAAACATTTAGCATATGCACCTGAAGGGAAACAGTTTTTTTTGTTTTTTTTAAAGATGGAATCCTCATTTAAATTCAACAGTATGGTTTTAATACTTTTTGCTTTTTTAATAATATTACTATGAAATTTATTTCTTAGCTTTTAAAGAACTTTTTTATTTTAAAAAGTACTTTGAGATCTTTCTAATGATACAAATATCTGATATGATGAACCTTGAGTGCAAAAAAACTCAACATAACTCAATTATACTTCTTCTGACAATGAATATAACTTGAAAAGTACTGAATTACTTTACAAATTGTTTTTTTTTCACTTACTCTGTGTTTCTGTTTGTCTTCATAGATTTGTAAATATGCAAAGAAATTCTAAATGAGTATCCTTTTGTTTCACTAATTATAATCCATAATAGCCAGCTTCAGTTTAATTTTTTTTTCTATTAAAAAACAACATTGTATATACTTATATATCTTTTCAAGGTCTTTCTTGTTTATTTCTGTAATATTTCTCATTCTATATCAGTGTTTCTCAGTGTTCATGGCCTGAGTTATTTGATTTGGTCTGTTTGTTTTGTTGAGACTTTCATATATAAAATTTTTGTTTATTCTAATACGAAGAAGAAAGTAATTGTCATTCCTTTTAGTATGACATTACAGTGGCAGATGGTGCATCAGTTTTATCAGTTAATTCCAAGGAATGTTTTTTGTTTTGTTTTTTTGAAGTGTGCCTTTAGAACCAAAAAATACAGAAGAATATAAGAAACAAGAAGCAAAGGCTATGAAGATAGCTCAAGAGATTGAAAGTAGTCAGCAACATCGCTTAAGAATAGCTCTAGAAAATGGAGATGAAGAGGAGAGGTATAGTGCTGTGATGAGGCCATCAGAAAATACGCAGACCAGTTCCAAGTAAGTAATTGTATTTTAACCCTTTCCAGACGGGTCACGGGTGAAAGGCCATATCATCACATTTGTTGACTTGCATTCAAAATTTTATTGAACTACTATTTCATGAATTTATGTCAAT